GCCAAATAACCAGAGTGTGCATCCGTGATTATTGAAGGATTAAACATTATGTTTTATCAGCATCTTGTTTTGTTCCATTTATGAACTGCAATTCATACACTGGTGTTTCAAATTGCTTCTGAATTAAAAATTTAGAATATTATATAAATTTAGAATTATATAATATATTGTGATACGGCCTTGGGCATAAAAAAATATTGTGAAACACTTTAAACCTCCAATACCCATGCTAATAACAAATGAATACAGCATTAACAGTTCACTTTTACCAAAAAATAAATTTCAACCATTTCAAACACAAACCCATTGTCTACTTAATCTATAACTGCCTATGAAGACCCGGGTTAGAATAGGTCTTAAGCAACCCCCAGTTTTTGTTGGAGACGACTATGCTTGTCGTAGGAGGCGACTAAAGGGATCGGGTGGTCAGACTTGTTGACTTGGTTGATGCATGTCGTACCACAATTGCATGGATCGAAGCTCATGATATCAATCACTGGATTGTCTGGTCTTTGACTCGATTATTTACAAAAGAGCACCTTATTTCAGGTTTCTCATAATTTGGGGTCGGCGGTTATGTGAACCAATACAAAATATATGAGGTGATGTTAAACAGGAAACAAGAACATGCACAGACAAGTAACAGCTACAAAACAGCATGCATAAAGGAAGAATGGCACAGTAATCACAAACGGACATTTCCAATGTGACTGGCATGATGGTAATGTTTAAAATTTGATTAAGATTTTGGTTGGTTTTGGCCGCACTCAGCAATACTCCAGCCATATGACGGCTGTCTGTAAATAATAGAGTCTGGACCAGACAGTCCAGTGATCAATATCATCAGCATCGATCTACGCAACTGGGATCGATGACATGCATCAACCAAGTCAGCGAGCCTGACCACCCGATCCCATTAGTCGCCTAGATTGAGAAAGCCAGTGAATACGAGAAGCAAAATTTCAGCTTCAAACACCCAGAGATTTTGTAAAACTCAATAAACAGGAGTGTGTGAATGACATAGACCGGCTAAATATAACAAAATATCAAAACTACATACATAATTGATAATAATGCATATAGAAATAGATGAGTAACAGGCAAAATTGATATTTCCAATAAGTCTGCCACGGGGACCATGTTTAAAATCATATAGGGTTTTTGTGAGCAGTCTGTTAGAGACACCATTACTGGAGCCATCCTTACAGAGAATCAGCTTCATTATCAGAGGAAAAGTCGAACATGTAAATGTTAATGCAAGACAGACATAAGGCCAACGTAGATGATGTGCCATACCCTATGCTCACGAGAAATGACATTTCAGGCAAAGAAAGGCATAACATGACTTCTATGTTAAGCCACCCCCATCCCAGGCAGACTTCTATTCTGTGTCTCCCCCCTACCCAGGGCAGACTTCTTTCTGTGTCTCCCCTCTACCCCAGGCAGACTTCTAGTCTGTGTCTTCCCCCTACCCCAGGCAGACTTCTAGTCTGTGTCTCCCCTCTACCCCAGGCAGACTTCTATTCCGTGTCTCCCCTCTACCCCAGGCAGACTTCTAGTCTGTGTCTCCCACTACCCCAGGCAGACTTCTATTCTGTGTCTCCCCCTACCCCAGGCAGACTTCTATACTGTGATCCCCTCTACCCCAGGCAGACTTCTATTCTGTCTCCCCCTACCCCAGGCAGACTTCTATTCTGTGTCTCCCCCCCTACCCCAGGCAGACTTCTAGTCTGTGTCTCCCCCCTACCCCAGGCAGACTTCTATTCTGTGTCTCCCCCCTACCCCAGGCAGACTTCTATTCTGTGTCTCCCCCTACCCCAGGCAACCTTCTATTCTGTGTCTCCCCCCTACCCCAGGCAGACTTCTATTCTGTGTCTCCCCCCTACCCCAGGCATACTTCTAGTCTGTGTCTCCCCCCCATCCCAGGCAGACTTCTATTCTGTGTCTCCCCCCTAACCCAGGCAGACTTCTATTCTGTGTCTCCCCCCTACCCCAGGCAGACTTCTATACTGTGATCCCCTCTACCCCAGGCAGACTTCTATTCTGTGTCTCCCCTCTACCCCAGGCAGACTTCTAGTCTGTGTCTCCCCCTACCCCAGGCAGACTTCTATTCTGTGTCTCCCCTCTACCCCAGGCAGACTTCTATACTGTGATCCCCTCTACCCCAGGCAGACTTCTATTCTGTCTCCCCCTACCCCAGGCAGACTTCTATTCTGTGTCTCCCCTCTACCCCAGGCAGACTTCTATAATGTGATCCCCTCTACCCCAGGCAGACTATACTGTGATCCCCTCTACCCCAGGCAGACTTCTATTCTGTGTCTCCCCTCTGCCCAAGGCAGACTTCTATTCTGTGTCTCCCCTCTACCCCAGGCAGACTTCTATTCTGTGTCTCCCCTCTACCCCAGGCAGACTTCTATTCTGTGTCTCCCCTCTACCCCAGGCAGACTTCTATTCTGTGTCTCCCCCCTACCCCAGGCAGACTTCTAGTCTGTGTCTCCCCTCTACCCCAGGCAGACTTCTATTCTGTGTCTCCCCTCTACCCCAGGCAGACTTCTATTCTGTGTCTCCCCCCTACCCCAGGCAGACTTCTATTCTGTGTCTCCCCTCTACCCCTGGCAGACTTTTATTCTGTGTCTCCCCTCTACCCCAGGCAGATTTCTAGTCTGTGTCTCCCCCCTACCCCAGGCAGACTTCTATTCTATGTCTCCCCTCTGCCCAAGGCAGACTTCTAGTCTGTGTCTCCCCCCTACCCCAGGCAGACTTCTAGTCTGTGTCTCCCCTCTACCCCAGGCAGACTTCTATTCTATGTCTCCCCTCTGCCCAAGGCAGACTTCTAGTCTGTGTCTCCCCCCTACCCCAGGCAGACTTCTATTCTGTGTCTCCCCCCTACCCCAGTCAGACCTTCTATTCTGTGTCTGCCCCTACCCCAGGCAGACTTCTATTCTGTGTCTCCCCCCTAACCCAAGCAGACTTCTATTCTGTCTCCCCCCTACCCCAGGCAGACTTCTAGTCTGTGTCTCCCCCATACCCCAGGCAGACTTCTATTCTATGTCTCCCCTCTGCCCAAGGCAGACTTCTAGTCTGTGTCTCCCCCCTACCCCAGGCAGACTTCTATTCTGTGTCTCCCCCCTACCCCAGGCAGACTTCTATTCTGTGATCCCCTCTACCCCAGGCAGACTATACTGTGATCCCCTCTACCCCAGGCAGACTTCTATTCTGTGTCTCCCCTCTGCCCAAGGCAGACTTCTATTCTGTGTCTCCCCTCTACCCCAGGCAGACTTCTATTCTGTGTCTCCCCTCTACCCCAGGCAGACTTCTATTCTGTGTCTCCCCTCTACCCCAGGCAGACTTCTATTCTGTGTCTCCCCTCTACCCCAGGCAGACTTCTAGTCTGTGTCTCCCCCCTACCCCAGGCAGACTTCTATTCTGTGTCTCCCCCCTACCCCAGGCAGACTTCTATTCTGTGTCTCCCCCCTACCCCAGGCAGACTTCTATTCTGTGTCTCCCCCCTACCCCAGGCAGACTTCTATACTGTGATCCCCTCTACCCCAGGCAGACTTCTATTCTGTCTCCCCCTACCCCAGGCAGACTTCTATTCTGTGTCTCCCCTCTACCCCAGGCAGACTTCTATACTGTGATCCCCTCTACCCCAGGCAGACGTCTATACTGTGATCCCCTCTACCCCAGGCAGACTTCTATTCTGTGTCTCCCCTCGGCCCAAGGCAGACTTCTATTCTGTGTCTCCCCTCTACCCCAGGCAGACTTCTATTCTGTGTCTCCCCTCTACCCCAGGCAGACTTCTATTCTGTGTCTCCCCCCTACCCCAGGCAGACTTCTATTCTGTGTCTCCCCCCTACCCCAGGCAGACTTCTAGTCTGTGTCTCCCCTCTACCCCAGGCAGACTTCTATTCTGTGTCTCCCCTCTACCCCAGGCAGACTTCTATTCTGTGTCTCCCCCCTACCCCAGGCAGACCTCTATTCTGTGTCTCCCCTCTACCCCTGGCAGACTTCTATTCTGTGTCTCCCCTCTACCCCAGCCAGATTTCTAGTCTGTGTCTCCCCCCTACCCCAGGCAGACTTCTATTCTATGTCTCCCCTCTGCCCAAGGCAGACTTCTAGTCTGTGTCTCCCCCCTACCCCAGGCAGACTTCTAGTCTGTGTCTCCCCTCTACCCCAGGCAGACTTCTATTCTATGTCTCCCCTCTGCCCAAGGCAGACTTCTAGTCTGTGTCTCCCCCCTATCCCAGGCAGACTTCTATTCTGTGTCTCCCCCCTACCCCAGTCAGACCTTCTATTCTGTGTCTGCCCCTACCCCAGGCAGACTTCTATTCTGTGTCTCCCCCCTACCCCAAGCAGACTTCTATTCTGTCTCCCCCCTACCCCAGGCAGACTTCTAGTCTGTGTCTCCCCCCTACCCCAGGCAGACTTCTATTCTATGTCTCCCCTCTGCCCAAGGCAGACTTCTAGTCTGTGTCTCCCCCCTACCCCAGGCAGACTTCTATTCTGTGTCTCCCCCCTACCCCAGGCGGACTTCTATTCTGTGTCTCCCCCCTACCCCAGGCAGACTTCTATTCTGTGTCTCCCCCCTAACCCAGGCAGACTTCTAGTCTGTGTCTCCCCCTACCCCAGGCAGACTTCTATTCTGTGTCTCCCCCCTACCCCAGGCAGACTTCTATTCTGTGTCTCCCCCCTACCCCAAGCAGACTTCTATTCTATGTCTCCCCTCTGCCCAAGGCAGACTTCTATTCTGTGTCTCCCCCCCTACCCCAGGCAGACTTCTATTCTGTGTCTCCCCCCTACCCCAGGCAGACTTCTATACTGTGTCTCCCCCCTACCCCAGGCAGACTTCTATTCTGTGTCTTCCCCCTACCCCAGGCAGACTTCTATTCTGTGACTCCCCCTACCCCAGGCAGACTTCTATTCTGTGTCTCCCCCCTACCCCCGGGCAGACTTCTATTCTGTGACTACCAACCTCCTTATGGTCAAAAAGTAGGCCTCACCTCTCAGCTGTTCATGAAGACCTGACCTCCTAAACTGCTGAGGAATTTGACTTCATCTCCTCTCAGACATAGCGTCTCACTTTCCAACTTTGGGCCGGTCTTTTCCTGGAACAGAGGAACAGCAAATCAGACAACACTCATCACTGATATGGGCAGAAATCTTGCACACACAGCAACTGTGTCAATCAGAATTCATAATAATATCACTCAAATTACTTGATGTATGGCAAACATGATAAAGTATGACAAAACAAGGAAGATTCAGAAAGCAGCTTTCATTTTCAACTTGCTGTTTAACAAATATCTGAGGGGACATTGGATTGCGTGCATCAATCCTCAGCATCAAACTGACACAGAGGATGTGAAAACTACTGTAACCCTATTACCAGAAGTGTCTGAACAAATCACAGTAATTGCTGGTGTTACAAGTCATCTCAATCACCTCTGTGATAGCGCTGACCTAACACTGTGACGGTATCAAACATGCCTCAGGATACAATGGGATAAGTTTTAGTCCACATAAATATCTTCAAGGTTACTTGGTTCCTTGAATTAGAAATAGTTGAGATTATATCAGATTTTTGCAGGATGAAGTTGCTATTTTGGAACAAATGTGTAGGAAATTACTCATGACACTGTTCTTGCGCTAAAGCAAGTATCTTCTTAGGTGCTAGATGAAATAAATGCAAACTGCTGGTGCTTCTTAAATGGGATTACTAGCCCACCACCAACCGCTAGTCAGTCGTCAAGAGGATTACTAGCCCACCACCAATCACTAGTCAGTCTTCAATGGGATTACTAGCCAACAACCAACCGCTAGTCAGTCGTCAACGGGATTACTAGCCAACAACCAACCGCTAGTCAGTCATCAACGGGATTACTAGCCAACAACCAACCGCTAGTCAGTCGTCAACGGGATTACTAGCCAACAACCAACCGCTAGTCAGTCATCAACGGGATTACTAGCCAACAACCAATCACTAGTCAGTCTTCAATGGGATTACTAGCCAACAACCAACAATGTCTTTATTATCTTACCCGAGCCATTGAAGTTCTTTCAAATGTTGAACTGCCACAATTTCTGAAAAACATAAAAGGATGTCCAATTTGAAGGTAATCATAAATTCGAAAAGTTTGTTTGACTCAAGGGCTATACCAATTATAATTGTGAAAGAAATGTCAGCCTGAATGTTGTTTGATGCCGCAGTCAAAAATATTCAAGCCATATCATGGCAGACAGAGTTATGAAGTCTTAGCCAGGCCAGTGCCTGAAATAACAGCCTGCATGCCTGCACGTGACTGGTTACTTTTCTGTCGGGCTGCCTGAAAGTTTCCTCCATCAGCCTGACTGTTTGGCAGATAATTTTAAGACTACTTAGGTATTCAATTTTATTTCAACTCCTTGTGGGTTCTCAAGTGTGATTGTTTGCATTATTTTACCTGAAGACAAGATTTGTCTCTTAGTGTTTTGCAATTTTTTAATATTTATAATGTCTGAAAGCAGGCAGGTAACTTTGAAGATGGACAGGCAACACTTGTTGGTCATCGACCCGACTGTCTTGTTGGGTTATAAAATTATTTCAAACACTGGGGCAGGTAAACCAGTGACTAGAAGCATGGGCAGAGATCCATGCCATCAATGTACAATGACATGCAGTCAGCCAAGCCTGGCCAACCAATATCCATTTAGGTTAGCTAGCTCTCATGACAACACGCATGAGGTACTGGGGACAACAAGCTAATCATGAACCCTCACATCGCCTTTCTTACAGTATTGCCTGACTTAAATAAGCATAAATAATAATTGAAATGAAGAAGAATTTATTACAGTAGGTTATTGACCTTTTTCCCACTTTCAGTTTGAAAGCGAGGCTTGGAGCACGCAACATGAAGGTTGGACAGAACATATCGCGACATCAACAAAACATGCAAGCACGACAAACAGTAACAATGAACTGAGACACTAGGTATCACAGCAACATTTATCATCAATATGTAACAGCTCACATTCTTAACATTGACAACATATATCTGTATTGAAATAATTTAGTAAGATCAGTTCTGTTGTGATTTCCAATGTCCATGACCAGCTGATGCTACCAGTGCAGTAGTAGCTCAACACTGACTTAACACAGACCCTACTGGCAGTGTGCCATGAAGAGTTCACTGTATCCCTACACTTGCTGACTGACCCTACTGGCAGTGTGCCATGAAGAGTTCACTGTATCCCTACACTTGCTGACTGACCCTACTGGCAGTGTGCCATGAAGAGTTCACTGTATCCCTACACTTGCTGACTGACCCTACTGGCAGTGTGCCATGAAGAGTTCACTGTATCCCTACACTTGCTGACTGACCCTACTGGCAGTGTGCCATGAAGAGTTCACTGTATCCCTACACTTGCTGACTGACCCTACTGGCAGTGTGCCATGAAGAGTTCACTGTATCCCTACACTTGCTGACTGACCCTACTGGCAGTGTGCCATGAAGAGTTCACTGTATCCCTACACTTGCTGACTGACCCTACTGGCAGTGTGCCATGAAGAGTTCACTGTATCCCTACACTTCACCCAGAACACAAGTTCATTTTATGCACAGGTGGGTATATCTCTCATATCTCACAATCCTCAGGTCGACTACCTGTACCTTTTCTCCCAATACCAATTGTCATACACCTAGATCTCTCCCGCTACTGGATGCGATCATTCGGCCGTTGCCTTTAACTGTGTTGCCAAGCTACATCTATGGGGAACAACTGACTAGACACTCCCCTCTCAAAAATAATGACATTCAATATACAACGTCATCAAGTTGCGAGCGCATCTCCAGAAATGAGAACATTTTTTATTGTGAAATAAACCACACCTAGTTCTTGTTTGTTCTTTGTGATTTATCGCATATCTATCTTATATATTCAAATAAAATATTAGGCCTTTATTAATTATTCTGAAAATAACAGTAGTTATGTTGTCAGTGTTGACAGATTAGATAGCCAGATGTTTTAACTGAGTTATTATATAGAGGGTGTGGACATATTTAAAATGAACTACAGTCTGATCTGAAATTATGTGAACAATGTTTTACCAAAATAAAGTCACGAAATGAACAAATGTCCGGGATATTGCCCAATTCTCTCTTTTATACTCCACAATATATGTGTAATTACATTTATGTTGACGTCGAAACTTTAAGGTCAAGTAACAATACAAATTATATAATAAGAAGCCCACTCATGTAACTAAAACTACAGTCATATGTGTATAAACTCAACATATATTTATACTCTATGTACAAACCAACCAATATTTTCCATAAAATCATGGACAGACAAAGGTATGTTATGGTTTACATCTCTTGTTAAATCCTTGTCACCATACAATGCTGTTTTCAGATTAAAATTCTTTATGTAGACGTAATGTTAAGAAAAGTAGGACAAGTGAGGAGGAAGTGAAGTGGAGACTCCAAATAAAAACCACACTGACAAGCTTCAATATTTGAAATATGTCTTTCAATTCTATGACTATTAATGATAATATAGTATTGAGTCCCGTTACTTAAGTCAAAGTACAATGTATATATACAATATTCAGATGTATCCAACATGGACATGTTGTATATGGATAACAAACAGTTTATACTTTGTATCCATGATTCAGGTCCCTTCACTAGATGACCCATACTGAGTTAATATAAATACATGCTGATAGTAGGTAGGATTAATAAACAAAAATTACAATATTATGACCATCCTGTCTATATTTCCTGGCCACAAACTAAAATTCTCCACACCAACATCAATCACTGGAAAAAAAGGAAACTGCAAGAAACTTTTGAAACACAAGTATTTGTCACAGAAGTGACGAAATGTCCCCCGCCTGTATACACCAAAATACCAAATATGAAGACAATCCAGCGATTAGTTCTTGAGATATCGCGGCAACACCGTTTTCCAACTCCAAAAGCAGATTTGCCTGCTGTGACCTTGAAAATAGGGTCAAGGTCACCAAAACCGACTGGTGCCTGCGGTGTCTGTATATACACCATAGTTCCAAATATTAAGACAATCCTGCGATTAGTTCTTGAGATATCGCGGCAACACCGTTTTCCAACTCCAAAAGCAGATTTACCTGCTGTGACCTTGAAAATGGGCTCAAGGTCACCAAAACCGACTGGTGTCTGCGGGGTCCGTATATACACCCTAGTACCAAATAGGAAGACAATCCAGAGATTAGTTCTTGAGATATCGCGGCAACACCGTTTTCCAACTCCAAAAGCAGATATACCTGCTGTGACCTTGAAAATGGGGTCAAGGTCACCAAAACCGACTGGTGTCTGCGAAGTCCGTATATACACCCTAGTACCAAATAGGAAGACAATCCAGAGATTAGTTCTTGAGATATCGCGGCAACACCGTTTTCCAACTCCAAAAGCAGATATGCCTGCTGTGACCTTGATAATGGGGTCAAGGTCACCAAAACCGACTGGTGTCTGCGGAGTCCGTATATACACCCTAGTACCAAATAGGAAGACAATCCAGAGATTAGTTCTTGAGATATCGCGGCAACACCGTTTTCCAACTCCAAAAGCAGATTTACCTGCTGTGACCTTGAAAATGGGCTCAAGGTCACCAAAACCGACTGGTGTCTGCGGAGTCCGTAGTACCAAATAGGAAGACAATCCAGTGTTTAGTTCTTGAGATATCGCGGCAACAAACAGGTGGGACGTACGGACGGACGTACGGACGGTCGTGAATACTATATCCCCCGCTTCGAGCTTTGGCGCGGCGGGGGACAATAAAGAAAGAAGCCGGCCACTCACAGAGACAAATGCAAAATTAAAATTACAAAATATCATTTCAATGTCATTTAAAACATAACATCACCCTTACGATCGAAATTATTTTTAACAACTAGGCTACCCGACAGCCTTAATCATGATTAGAAGGATGTTCCGAAAATTTACTTGCTAAATATGTTATAAATATTGTGGTAAAGAATGTAGTCAAGAATTAAGTGAGGTACAGTCACATTCAGGGAAGTGCATTTGTCTATAGTATTTTAGGCTATAGAACATAAGGGGCACAGTAAATAATTACCTTTTAACATGATAAATTAATAACACAATTAAACTTTTATGATCATGTTGTGGGACAAAAATAGCATGACTCTGTACTTTCCCCACACAACACTTTTTTTCTTTTCTTTTGTAAGTATTAATAATTAATAGTCTGGTTGGGGACTCCGGATATCTTTTCAACGGGTGTTTTTCTATCACATACCACTAATTATAAAAGGATATTGGAAATGACTTTACACTGCCTTGTTGTCTGACGGAAGATAGGACTTGTGATCTCAACAAACACCGTATGTAACCATGTGGACAAGATCTCTTTAGAGTTTGTGATTTTTACCATACTGAATATTGGTGTTTGGGGATACCAAAGGTAACAGTTTATTATTAGAGGAAATTGGTAGTGAATACTTGTAAATACCATGTGGGAAGTCACTCGTCTCAAAGACGACCAGACTTTGTTAGAATCCAGCTGGTGACATTTTAGTGAATTTAACATGATGATCTATTGTAATATTCATAGTATTTTAGTTTGTCAAATTGTGAAGAAAATTGTATGAATTATTTATATATACCATGTGCGGAAAAGATTATACCAGGAAATGTATTATGAAGCATCCATTATGTTTTCACACCAAACATGGTTTTGAAAGCCTCAACTCAACGTAACAAGATATGAAACATAAAAATTCAAGGCCTTTTCAAGGCTTTTCATGGTTTCCAACTATCATTTTCAAGGCTTTTTAGTGGGGTTATTAGCCTTGGTCAGACTCCAGCATACAAAATATCAGTTGTAAGACCTAAAAAACATAATGAACATTACAAACTTTACAACAATTTCACAACCAACAAATAAAATATTCCTACTCTTATCTACAAGCATGTCATTTTGTACAAATTCAATGCTTTTCAAGCAGATTTGGTTATTTTCAAGTATTTTCAAGTTTGACACCGAAAAATAAAGGCTTTTCACGAGGGACCTTAAAATCAAGGCCTTTTTATGTCTGTAGGAACCTTGCTTTAATAAAACTATAACTCATTTGTCACGTTTGTCCTCAAGGAACTTGATGATGTTACACATGATCAAACAGCTTTATGTGTTTGGGAGGCATTTAGAAGTTGGAACAATAATGTGTTTATGTGTATTTGTTATCTCTTAAAACCAAAACATGATTAAGATTTTAAGATAAGAAAAATACATTAAAAAATATATTTATTGAGTAGAAGTGGCAAGGGATTGGCTGTGTACTGGACCATTTTGTTGTTATACAAGTTGCAATGGCAGACAGATGGCTTATTTAAGTCTAACCTGAGGTACAGCTATATTATAAACAGGTTAAAACACACTACTGTACACAGTCAGAGACTACAGTATACAGTGTGAAACAATACCTTTCTCTACATGAAAGTAAAAATATCTATTTAAAATATTCACATAACATTCACCAAATCTTCAAGGCACTAGATATACATTTAAACCAATAATACATTAATGTGCAGATGTGTCGAGATAGCATATGATAGAGGGTTCTGGCAATGTTGAAACACGTTTCATTTGACACTAGAAAGCCATATTTGTGTACATGAGTTAAAAGATAGTGTTTGTAAAACAAGCAAAATATACAAGATAAGAAGGGGACATTCAGAGAGTTTGGTGAATGATTACAATGATAAAATGAACACCCATATCTGAGGTATTCAAACAGGCCTTTTGTTATCAGCGACTGGAGTGTATATCCGCCGGAAGTAATATTCTCCTAAAAATCTGCCGCTTAAAGCATGCAAATCTGAAAAGCAGATAAGTATGTTTCTAATAGACCCTATAACAAATGGTACTACAGACCAGATTGCTACCTTAATTGACTGGGTTTCGACTGACATACTGAAATTAAACAACTAATTAATTATTGTCCATCTACTACAATAGTAAACTTTTATTTGGTATTCAGAGTAATGTCATAAAGACAAATCACATACTTTAACCTCTTCACAGGCATATCTATTTTCTGTACTTGCTCTTTGCGTTGTCTCATTCCGCAGACATAATTAATACATTCTCTGTCATCCTGCTTGATAACTGGTTCAAGTTGATTCCTTAATATCTTTTTATTTTATCAAGATATTTTCCGTAGTGCCGGATATCTGTAGTAATATCTTACATTTGGATATTAATTAGCTATCATATTGTAAGCTCAGGGTCTTCAAGAAGTGTTCTATTTCATAGGATATTTATACTAAATTTTAATTTTAACCAATTTTAACACAACACACATTTTTACTTTGTCATGCATAATAAAATTTTATTCTGTTAAGTAAATAGTGATTGAAGGGGCAGAAAGTTTTCATCTTTCATAGAACAAACTGAACAGATTATTGCCCCTTTTGGAAAGTTAGTTTACTATTTTCATGTTCATTCACATTGTAATATTTTTGGATGAAAAACGTATAAAAAAAAAGCCCTATGTCTACTTAACTGTGGTGCAATGAAAGTACATTGCGAAGCAAACACGACGACTTGTGGAATAAACACGACAATCTGCAGTTTCCCAAACAACAAGCCACTCGTCACTGAGCGAATGAGGAGAATTCATGGAAGTATTGCAATAAATGCTGTTTATTCACAATACATAAATTCTATCACTGAGCATACCATCACATTTTTTTACCATTAAATTCACAAGAGAGCCCATTTCAGAAATACACATCTCGACATGCACCTTTCACTTTCCAGCAGAAAAATGTAAATTCCAATGTATTATGAACACATTTTCATTCGACTTTAGCTCTTAATATGCAATATCTTCTGTATTCCACAAACAGCATATAATTTTAAGGTTGATATGTCCATCAGTGAAATGCGGTGAAATGGAGTTCCCCATCATAACAAACTCTCTGATACCGATTAGCTGATGCGATTCACTCTGCATGGAGCTATGCACTCCAGCCAATCAAAGATGGCAAAAGAGTGGTAAAAGTCAATAGTATGGTTCTACGCTATTTTTAGCAACATTCAAGCAACATCATGTCAGGACAACCCAAGAATTGGCTTCACACATTCTACCCTTGTAGGATCTCAAAACGGAAATGTCATCTTGCACATGTCATCTTTGGATTCAAGTGCAGCCAGGCTTGTCCTTGATGCTTAGTCATTTATCACATGCATAATAAATACCCATCTTTATCCTTAATCACAACCTTTAAAAAAAGTGCCACTGTAGCTCACCTGGGTATGTCTTGGTCTAAAATGTCAACAAATGAATAAAATATGATATCTCCCTAAGGAGGAACATGCCTGCCGAAAGTTCCACTCACGTAGTGGTAATTTCAGGGGCGAATAAGTTTACAAGGCCAAACATGACTTATCAGCGAATTTTAAGAGAATGGTCAGTGCAAGGAAATTGCCAAACCTCGAAATATTTGTGTTGAACCCAACAAAGAACCAAAAGATACCTAATTTCATCAGAATTTGTACAAAAATGGCCGAGTAATGGTCCTGAATAGATTTTTCAATATCGATACTGTGGTTTCGAACCTCGGGTAGCCTAGCGGTTAAAGGGTTTGCTCGTCACGCCGAAGACCTGGATTCGATTCCCAACGTGGGTACAATGTGTGAAGCCAATTTGTGGTGTCCCCCGCCGTGATATTGCTTGACTATTGCTAAAAGTGGCATACTCACTCACTCACTCGAACCTCTTGAACAAGTTTAGGTATCACCTTTGGAAGGAACAAGCATGTGAAGTTTCAGTGGTGTCTGAGGTTATGATGTGTACAGTACATGGAAATGTATGCCAGACGTTGGTCAAACAGGCCACGAAATTAGCTTTCAGTCAGGTGAGCTTATGAAAGGCCACATTTTGGGATAAGTTGAGGTTTGAATATATGGTTCATAACATCGTAGTCAAGTCAAAGATCATGTTCTCCTTGAACCGAAAAAATCCATATAATCGGTGTTCAACTGCATCTTTATAACCATGGTCTTGTGACAACTTCAACATGAAAAGGAGAATTATCACACAGAGATGTCTATCTGAAAGAGCTTACTTGCAGGCGTCCTTAGGGTATTTGTCCAGGGAAACTGTCCTGTGTTTACACTGTTTACACTTGAAGAATCGCTTGACGCCTTTATGGCGATGTAGATCATGGCGAGCGCTCTTGCAGGTCTCCGTTGCGGAGAATGCTGTGTACTTGCACTGGAAACAGAACCACCATCCAAATCTGTGGTCAATAAAATGGTAATCATCAATCTATTTCAAATATTTGATGGACTTGAAACATCTCAGGATCTTGTACAAGTTCCTGCACGTCGCAGCAATACATGTGAGAATGGCAGCTTTTCTTATCAGTTTTGTGGAGGCAATGCTCTTTTTCTAGAAAATCATTCAAATCCTTGGTCAAATATTGGCACGTATTCATTTTGTTTCAAGTGTTTTAAAAACAGAAAAGACCTTCTTTGACTTCTTAGGACCCCTAAACATGAAGGCTGCAGGCTTTAGCTGAAGCTGTAACCACTTGAACCAGAACCAAATTGCCAATATTGAAAAATCATGCATTTTCCATGTAAGAGAATATTCTTCAGATTGTCAAATATACTTTTGTGAAATATAATCAGAGTAACATCTGGGTTTACACATTTCGCAATCAAACACAAATAACAATATTAGGTCACTACAGAAACATGATAATCCGAAGTTGTCGTAATTGACAACAGTTGCCTCTTATTGCAGCATCACCCCAAAAGTGTTTTCATTACTGTATCACAACACTGTGATGGAAAATAACCAGGAGACACCATCAATGGTTCATGTGTCCACGTTGAGAATCAAACCAAGACAGTATGAGCAGCTAGCCAACACTATTTCACCACTAAAATAGAAAAGGGAATCGTTCAGCTTTTTACACTGAGTACGTGACCATTGTGAAAGGTATACGCAATATATCCAGGTCATGTCCACATGATGACAAGAACTAGAAATAAAAAGTAAAGTCAATTTTTTTTACTAATTCAAAAAGAAATACTTTTATATTATGAAATTACAAAATATATTGCTTATTCAAAGTGTAATTATGCAAGTTTCCTTGCTGGTCTTTTTTACATATATTATTTCGAAACCTTGTATAAACTATGATATATTATCTGTCCATGCTATAAACATGCGCATATTGTATTTTTGTTATTTTGTTGTTATTATTTTGTATTTTGGCCTTGATGACATCATTGGTAATTGGTACAGTAGTCAATGCCTGGTCAACATGTTATTCTACACACATGGAACAAACAACATTGTTCTTTAAAAGTGTACATTACAATGTAACACAAAGTTGAAAAATCTCTTGTTATCTTATAACTTGAACGCACAATATTCATGCGCAAATTCAGGTAAATTCGGTTCTTGTATTCATTAGTTAAAATTCTGCGCAATTTTCCATGCTTTTATAAAACTAATATCGTATTCGACATAATTAGCGCCCAGGGTGCTCTCAAAATTAGAAATAGGGGGCTCTTATTAGAATAATATTTTGGTGAAAAACAACAGAGTTGAAAGATCATAAATTTTGTGGTTTATGCTGACAGCCTGAAATGATACTAAAAAAAGTCTGTGTGTATTATACACGACAGATATATTTTTCAAGAATTTAATTGCCCATAATTAAGGGTGCATATAACACACGAGTGTGTATTTACACGAATAAATAAGTCTTGTGTACATTGATCAATCCAAAGGAATTGGAATTGTTCACAAGACAATATATTAGCAAATATTGCCGTGGGCGCTTATAACGTTGAATACAGTAATAAATAAAATTAAAATAAAAGCCATTACATTCAACAATCATTGATAAGATGCCATTTTTTGTAATACTGCAATTTGAGACTAAATAGGAAATCACTGTGTCCCAAGTTCCCAATTATTTCAACATGACAGAATTGATCCATGCCTAAATAGTGGGGGTCATGGGTCTGCTAACCTAACCCACTAAGAGCAATGCCAGGTCTTCTGTCATCACCTATCCTGTCACCCTAAGACATCATAGAGACCAGAGTGTATGTCATTAATGCTGCAGTCGGCAATATTCCAGCTATTGTAGATTGTTGAGGCAAGTCTTGGCCAAGCAGACCAGTGTTTGCTACCATGGCAGATCAAGTCTTCAAGATATGTTGATAAACCATCAGCCAGGTTACAAACTGTAGCCATCTAATCCTTGTGTAAGTTAAACTTTACAAGAAGCATTGGGTTGACAGATCAGCATTGTACACAATCATAACATCTGTGCTCACTGTTATGGCCTAAGCCATTTTATTTTTCAATATGAACCTTCAGACAGTCAGGCCGAAACTGTATGAATGTCAGCTTGATTGGCCCTCACTCTATGAAGTTTCATACTCCAAGGAAGTCACACAAAGAGAAAGTCAATTCTTATAATTGTTCATATCACTATTTTATACCACGAGGGATGGATTACACAATTTCATTTAGTATGTGTGACTTCATGTTTACACTGGCAGCCACACAACGACCAACTGTAACGTGGAATAAAATAGTTCATCAAAAGGAGACATGACATGATTGAATGTATGCTCAACTTGCTGTACAGGAACATCGTTTGTAGCTGGCTTGCAACAAATAGATCCAAGTGACATCAACACTAGATGAAAATGGTCTCTTAAGAACTACCTCAGTAAGTCGGTCACACTGACAGTGTGTCGTAATACATGTACATCAAAATCAGGGAGTCAAAATGGCGGGAGAGATTTCTGAAATAGTCCATGAACCTGTGGCGATTATAAGTGTTAGTCCTGATTGATCAACTGGCTTATCATTGAAAGATGATTATAAAGATGTGTCAAGTAGATACTAAGGTAAATTTACAAGATTGCTGAAGAGAGGCACAGATCAAGAAACAGATCAAGTCCATAGTTTGGATGTGCATTTCTTTCATTTTGTGCACTAGGATGGCGTGCAGTGAGGATATTCTTAAAATCGGCATTCAGTTTAAATCTTTGACTTATCCCAATGTAGGCTAAAACGGTAGGTTCAAGGGTCTTAAATGATCAGAAACAACACTTCTGTTTCCCCAGGAATGTGGAAGTAGTCTGACAGTGTTTAGGCTATTTCAAGAACACAATCTCGTGAAAAACATATAAACATCAAAATGTATCTGTCATACACTTATGGATGTCGGTTTCATGTTCATGTGACCAACCTTTCGTGCAAAGGAAAATCGCAAATTTTGTAACCTTCACATTAAAAACTTCACAAACACTAAAATGTCAAATGGTGTTTCTCCGTTTTCCTACAGTTCCAGTGGTATCTAATGTATCACTGGCAGCTCCATAACGAGTGCTTGATTGTCTCAAGTCACCAGTGACCTGCCCCGCAGGTCCACCTCCCGTCAGATCCCCACCATGTTCTGGTGCGGTAATTGGGCAAAGCTGTGATTAGACAAACATGATACACGTAGAGTGGTGGGTGGTATTTAAGCCACTGAACCCTACTACTTTAGGAGATGATGAGCAACAAGCATCACGCTACTGGCATCCTGCAGTACAACAGAGGAGATTATTCAATATCCTGGGGCACGGTTCACTGAAACAGTGCTTGTGATAGACATGCGACTGCAGACTGCAGACTAACTTGGCCTATCATACTCAAACAAAACAATACTAATGACCATTTGTGTAAACTATCATATATTATATTCTGAGTGATACTTTCCACAAATCTTGATATATATATAAATATAACAAAATTTGTTTGCTAAATGCCTCAATCAGCAAAATGCCAACTATGTCTCAGTGTTGTTTAATGTCACACTCAGCAATAGTCCAGCAATATGACAGCAGCCTATAAATAATCAAGTCTGGACCAGACAATTCAGTGACATGAGCATCAACCCAAATTGGGATACAATAACATGCATCAACCAAGTCAGTGAGTCTAACTACCCTATCCCATTAGTCTTGCAACAAGCATAGGTTGCTGGGGCCCCATATACTTATCCGGAATCCCTATGGGATTCCAACTGTATGACAATATCATATAATACTGTCATAGGCGACAGAGGAAATGTTTTTTAACACTGCAGTCAGCAACATACCAGCCATATGAGGGATTTATCAGGGAATTTTTACTGACATGTGCAGCCCCATGAAGATCCAGGTTAGAATATAGGTAGATCCGGGTAGGTCTTAAGCAACCCATGCTAGTCATATGAGGCGTTTCACGGGAGCGAGTAGTTAAGCTCGTTGACTTGGTTGATGCATGTCATCGTATCCTAATTGCGTGGATCGATACTATGACATTAATCACTGGATTAAACAAACTGGATAAAACACTGTACAGTCAAGTCCCGTTAATCCGACACTGATGGTTGCATATGATTATGTCGGATAAACGAAATTAAGTAGTATCAACGTTCGTGATCGAAAATCAGACAACTACACGATAGATATAAGGATTTAAACACGTAATACAAAATATAAAATAAATATTTATACTGTTATGTTACATTGTTGGCGGAATATGTTTTCTGATCATGCAACCTCGAAGGTTTAACACAAAACAACTGTTACGGACTGTATGACTTATTCAAAATACTTTAAAAAGCATAGTCTGAAATGGAAGTCGCAACTTTGAAACTGGTACCTAAAGCTTAAGAAAGCTGCTTTCTAAGTGGCTAACGTCGACTTCCTCTTGGCCATTTCATTGGTAGGTCATAGTTCGCGAAAGGTTGTTCTGACGTGACCTGTAATGAGATGTCCTCGTCGAGAACTTGTATCTGATTTTAATGAGATTGAGGTAATCTAAGCATGTGATTTATCCTGTTTTCATTTAATTTAAAGCATTAATTGTTTATTGTTAGGCAAGTTTAATATTGTTGTTGTAATATGCAGCTACCAGCCTATTCGTCTCGCATCAAAACATCAAAACACGGGCTGTGCGGGCAGATGACCACGGAGTACGCTGATGACTGTGTCAGATTAACGAGACTGATTAATGAGTGATTTCGGTAATTCGTTGCAAATTAGGTGCGAGACTGTCAGATTAACGGGTCTAAATAGCACTGATGTAATCGGTTCCCATCATTAGCTTCGGATAAAGCCGATTGTCAGATTAACGAGTGTTGGATTAACGAGACTTGACTGTATATTAAAACAGCCTGTGAATAATCATGTCTTGTGATCTGTTTGTTGATTTGAGCCACACTCATCTATGTGACAGCTGCCTGTAAATAATCCGGACCAGACAAACTGTGACAGTGAACAGTGATCCACACCATAGTTGCACAATCAACCAAGTCACAGAGCATGACCATCCCATCCAATATTTTGCTTGTTTGTTTGTTGTTCAAGGCTGCACTTAGCAATATTCCAGCTATATGACGGCGGTCTGTAAATAATGGAGTCTGGACCAGTGATTGACATCTTGAGCATCAATCCACGCAATTGGGATATGATGACATGCATCAACGTATCCTGTTAGTCGCCTTTTATGACAAGCATAGTAGCCTTTTACAGCAAGCATGGGTTGCTGAAGACCTATTCTACCCCGGAATCTTCACTGGTGCCATCCCGTATAGTCACATCTTAAGATCAGCAACAGGTGCTGGAAGGCTACTTTAAACTACATGCCAATGGTTAAGAAGCACCATCCTTACCTTACCTGTAAGAGAAACCATGAATATCAAGAGTGAGTGAGATAATTGGGTTTAATGCTGCTTTATAATGCCTGGTGTCATGTGAAAAACCAGTAGCAATGGTGACGTGTCTGTCAACAGGTGACTATTGATAACAGGAATACAATCAGTACCCATGGTGACAGGTCTGTCAAAAAGTTCATGTGAGTGACAGTAAACATAATAAACAAACAATAACCATGGTAACCCATCAGGTATGGCTATCATGTGTACAAGCAGTTACCATGATGATCTATCTCTGAACATGTAAATACAGGCAAGAAAAGTAAAGCTAGTTATATGCCAGCATGGTAAACTGTTATCATGGTTACCAAAGGTAAACTAAAGTGACTCACCTGGCGACAGGTAACTACAGTCACCTCAAGCTTTGTAACTGCCAGCATTTTTTCTTCCATCATTTCTTTCTTTTCAAGTTCAGTGAAATACTTCTCTTCCCGCTCTGCCTCAGCCTAAAAGAGCAGCATGGGGCTAATGTGAAAAGATTTCCATGTGCAAACTAACAGAAAGTTTACTTCTTCCTTAGGTACTTTGAAATTCACTTAAAATCAAATTCAAATGAAATATCATACTGCATTTGGGATTAATTCATCAAGACCACAGTGCAATCAAGTTACAGGTGATGAAGAAACATAAAATCTTTCAGTAGATAATTACTAATTCACATAAGAGTTGTGTCCCTTGTTGCATGTTACTAATCTTTTAGAAACTGATCACAAATCCCTTCACTGGGAAAGAACCAGTACTTGACACCAACAGTCTCTACATGTGACATGTCAACACCAACAGTCTCTACATGTGACATGTCAACAACCAACAGTCTCTACATGTGACATGTCAACAACCAACAGTCTCTACATGTGACATGTTAACACCAACAGTCTCTACATGTGACATGTCAACAACCAACAGTCTCTACATGTGACATGTCAACAACCAACAGTCTCTACATGTGACATGTCAACACCAACAGTCTCTACATGTGACATGTCAACAACCAACAGTCTCTACATGTGACATGTCAACACAAACAGTCTGTACATGTGACATGTCAACACAAACAGTCTCTACATGTGACATGTCAACACCAACAGTCTCTACATGTGACATGTCAACACCAACAGTCTCTACATGTGACATGTTAACAACCAACAGTCTCTACATGTGACATGTTAACACCAACAGTCTCTACATGTGACATGTCAACACTAACAGTCTCTACATGTGACATGTCAACAACCAACAGTCTCTTCATGTGACATGTCAACAACCAACAGTCTCTACATGTGACATGTCAACACAAACAGTCTCTACATGTGACATGTTAACACAAACAGTCTCTACATGTGACATGTTAACACCAACAGTCTCTACATGTGACATGTCAACAACCAACAGTCTCTACATGTGACATGTCAACAACCAACAGTCTCTACATGTGACAAGTCAACAACCAACAGTCTGTACATGTGACATGTCAACAACCAACAGTCTCTACATGTGACATGTCAACAATCAACAGTCTCTACATGTGACAAGTCAACACCAACAGTCTGTACATGTGACATGTCAACAACCAACAGTCTCTACATGTGACATGTCAACAACCAACAGTCTCTACATGTGACATGTCAACACCAACAGTCTCTACATGTGACATGTCAACAACCAACAGTCTCTACATGTGACATGTCAACAACCAACAGTTTCTACATGTGACATGTCAACACAAACAGTCTCTACATGTGACATGTCAACACCAACAGTCTCTACATGTGACATGTCAACAACCAACAGTCTCTACATGTGACATGTCAACACCAACAGTCTCTACATGTGACATGTCAACACCAACAGTCTCTACATGTGACATGTCAACAACCAACAGTCTCTACATGTGACATGTCAACAACCAACAGTCTGTACATGTGACATGTTAACACAAACAGTCTGTACATGTGACATGTCAACACAAACAGTCTCTACATGTGACATGTCAACACCAACAGTCTCTACATGTGACATGTCAACAACCAACAGTCTCTACATGTGACATGTCACCACCAACAGTCTCTACATGTGACATGTCAACAACCAACAGTCTCTACATGTGACATGTCATCAACCAACAGTCTCTACATGTGACATGTCAACACAAACAGTCTCTACATGTGACATGTTAACACAAACAGTCTCTACATGTGACATGTTAACACCAACAGTCTCTACATGTAACAGTCTCTACATGTGACATGTCAACAACCAACAGTCTCTACATGTGACATGTCAACAACCAACAGTCTCTACATGTGACAAGTCAACAACCAACAGTCTCTATATGTGACAAGTCAACAACCAACAGTCTGTACATGTGACATGTCAACAATCAACAGTCTCTACATGTGACATGTCAACACCAACAGTCTGTACATGTGACATGTCAACAACCAACAGTCTGTACATGTGACATGTCAACAACCAACAGTCCCTACATACAGTCTCTACATGTGACATGTCAACACCAACAGTCTGTACATGTCAACACCAACAGTCTGTACATGTGACATGTCAACACCAACAGTCTGTACATGTGACATGTCAACACAAACAGTCTCTACATGTGACATGTCAACAACCAACAGTCTGTACATGTGACATGTCAACAACCAACAGTCTCTACATGTGACATGTCAACAACCAACAGTCCCAACATGTAACAGTCCCTACATGTGACATGTCAACAACCAACAGTCTCTACATGTGACATGTCAACAACGAACAGTCTGTACATGTGACATGTCAACAACCAACAGTCTCTACATGTGACATGTCAACACAAACAGTCTCTACATGTGACATGTCAACAACCAACAGTCTCTACATGTGACATGTCAACAACCAACAGTCTCTACATGTGACATGTCAACACAAACAGTCTCTACATGTGACATGTTAACAACCAACAGTCTCTACATGTGACATGTCAACAACCAACAGTCTGTACATGTGACATGTCAACAACCAACAGTCTCTACATGTGACATGTCAACAACCAACAGTCCCTACATGTAACAGTCCCTACATGTGACATGTCAACAACCAACAGTCTGTACATGTGACATGTCAACAACCAACAGTCTGTACATGTGACATGTCAACACAAACAGTCTGTACATGTGACATGTAAACACCAACAGTCTGTACATGTGACAAGTCAACACCAACAGTCTCTACATGTGACATGTCAACAACCAACAGTCTGTACATGTGACATGTCAACACCAACAGTCTGTACATGTGACAAGTCAACACCAACAGTCTCTACATGTGACATGTCAACAACCAACAGTCTCTACATGTGACATGTCAACACCAACAGTCTGTACATGTGACACGTCAACACAAACAGTCTCTACATGTGACATGTCAACAACCAACAGTCTCTACATGTGACATGTCAACAACCAACAGTCTCTACATGTGACATGTCAACACAAACAGTCTGTACATGTGACACGTCAACACAAACAGTCTCTACATGTGACATGTCAACAACCAACAGTCTCTACATGTGACATGTCAACAACCAACAGTCTCTACATGTGACATGTCAACACAAACAGTCTCTACATGTGACATGTCAACACCAACAGTCTGTACATGTGACATGTCAACAACCAACAGTCTGTACATGTGACATGTCAACAACCAACAGTCTCTACATGTGACATGTCAACAACCAACAGTCCCTACATGTAACAGTCCCTACATGTGACATGTTAACAACCAACAGTCTCTACATGTGACATGTCAACAACCAACAGTCTGTACATGTGACATGTCAACAACCAACAGTCTCTACATGTGACATGTCAACACCAACAGTCTGTACATGTGACAAGTCAACACCAACAGTCTCTACATGTGACATGTCAACAACCAACAGTCTCTACATGTGACATGTCAACAACCAACAGTCTGTACATGTGACATGTTAACACAAACAGTCTGTACATGTGACATGTCAACACAAACAGTCTCTACATGTGACATGTCAACACCAACAGTCTCTACATGTGACATGTCAACAACCAACAGTCTCTACATGTGACATGTCACCACCAACAGTCTCTACATGTGACATGTCAACAACCAACAGTCTCTACATGTGACATGTCATCAACCAACAGTCTCTACATGTGACATGTCAACACAAACAGTCTCTACATGTGACATGTTAACACAAACAGTCTCTACATGTGACATGTTAACACCAACAGTCTCTACATGTAACAGTCTCTACATGTGACATGTCAACAACCAACAGTCCCTACATACAGTCTCTACATGTGACATGTCAACACCAACAGTCTGTACATGTCAACACCAACAGTCTGTACATGTGACATGTCAACAACCAACAGTCTCTACATGTGACAAGTCAACAACCAACAGTCTGTACATGTGACATGTCAACAATCAACAGTCTCTACATGTGACATGTCAACACCAACAGTCTGTACATGTGACATGTCAACAACCAACAGTCTGTACATGTGACATGTCAACAACCAACAGTCCCTACATACAGTCTCTACATGTGACATGTCAACAACCAACAGTCTCTACATGTGACATGTCAACAACCAACAGTCTCTACATGTGACATGTCAACACCAACAGTCTCTACATGTGACATGTCAACAACCAACAGTCTCTACATGTGACATGTCAACAACCAACAGTTTCTACATGTGACATGTCAACACAAACAGTCTCTACATGTGACATGTCAACACCAACAGTCTCTACATGTGACATGTCAACAACCAACAGTCTCTACATGTGACATGTCAACACCAACAGTCTCTACATGTGACATGTCAACACCAACAGTCTCTACATGTGACATGTCAACAACCAACAGTCTCTACATGTGACATGTCAACAACCAACAGTCTGTACATGTGACATGTTAACACAAACAGTCTGTACATGTGACATGTCAACACAAACAGTCTCTACATGTGACATGTCAACACCAACAGTCTCTACATGTGACATGTCAACAACCAACAGTCTCCACATGTGACATGTCACCACCAACAGTCTCTACATGTGACATGTCAACAACCAACAGTCTCTACATGTGACATGTCATCAACCAACAGTCTCTACATGTGACATGTCAACACAAACAGTCTCTACATGTGACATGTTAACACAAACAGTCTCTACATGTGACATGTTAACACCAACAGTCTCTACATGTAACAGTCTCTACATGTGACATGTCAACAACCAACAGTCTCTACATGTGACATGTCAACAACCAACAGTCTCTACATGTGACAAGTCAACAACCAACAGTCTCTATATGTGACAAGTCAACAACCAACAGTCTGTACATGTGACATGTCAACAATCAACAGTCTCTACATGTGACATGTCA